TTTTGTACAGGGTCTCACTAGGCAGCTCGGACTTGTAGTGATCCTCCTGTTTGCAGCCTCCCCAGCACTGGGATTACAGTCATGTGCCAACAGGCCCAGTCTTGGCGTCAAGCTCAGCATGCTTGGGACAGGACTTGCACAGTATGTGATATCAGGGATTGAACCTAGGTCCTTGCGCTTGCCTAAACAGGCACTTAGACCACTGAGCTATCTTTGTGGCCCCTGATTCTCTTCTTTGACCATTAGTCCATTTTCTTAGTTATGGTATATCTATAGCAAGTTTTCAAGTTGAGTAATACCAGTCATCAAACTCTATTTTTCTCTTTCAGTTTTGTATGGATCATTCTGGATCTTTTGCCTTGTGTGTATATTTTAGAATCAGTTTGTATAGCTACAGAATGTCTTGCTTAGATTTTGACTTGTAATATATTGAATCTATAAATCAAAGAGGGAAGAACTGACAGTACTGAGCCTTATTCTCTGTGGACATGGGCCACCTCTCATTTACTTAATTCTTTGTTTTTTTTTTTTTTTTCAATGAGAGTCTTGTGGGTTTTCTGGTACAGTATCATGTGAGTACTTTCCTATGTTTATATCTATGTGCTTTATTTTGGCAGTGCTAGCATAAGTACTATTGTGTTTTTACACTTCAAATACCACTTTTTCATTGCTCATATATTAAGCTATTGATTCTCGCATATTAACTTTTTTCACCTCCAACCTTGCTATAATTGCTTATAAATTCTAGAAGTTTTCTCCTCATTTTTAAAAAAATTATCTACATAGATAATCATGTTATTTATGAACAATAATGTTTATTACATCCTTCTAAGTCTGTGTAACTTTTCTTGTCTTATTCTATTAGCTGGAAAATCTGCTATGTGTTGAAGTGGCAGGAGCGAGAGCCTGACTTTGTTTCCAGCCTTATAGGGAAGGTTTCACCCTTTTCATCATTAATCATACATTTAGCTATAGATTGTCATGGCCATTCTTTACCAAGATGAAGAAGGTCCCTTTCATTCATAGTTTGATAAGAATAAATGTAGGATTTTGGTGGTGCAGTCTTCACAGTTTGATATGATCATGTAGCTTTTCATCTTTAGCCTCCTGATGAAATAAAAGAATTGTAGGGACTGGTGAGATAGCTCCGTGGTCTAAAGCACCTACTTAGAACAAGCTAAAGCTAAGCAAAAGCACAGGGACCGCAGTTCAATCCCCCAGCACCACATGCCAGCCAGTCCCGCCCCCTGGTGGGCTGAGCTGGCCATACACACACACACGCACACACAAATAAATAAATAAATAAATTTAAAATAAAAAAATAAATAAAAACCAAAGCAGAAAAAAAAAGCACATTTTGAAATAAAAGAATTGTATTAACTGACATTTCAGGGTTGAACTAGCCTTGTATTCCTTGAAGTGATCCCATTTGAGCAAAGTGACCAAAAAAAAGAACAAAGTGAGCCCATTTGGTTGTAGCATATGATTCATTTTTGCTAAATTATTTGTTGAAGCTTTTTATTTCTGTTCATGAGAAATATCCATCTGTAGCTTTCTTATAACTTTCTGGTTTGTTATTAGTTTAATGCTAAACTCATAAGTATTTTAGGATGTATGGACTCTAATTAAATCTTCTGAAAGATTTTTGTAGAATACTGGTGTGCTTGTTTTCCTTAAATGCTTAGTAGAATTTACAGAGAATCAACCTTGGCCATGTGCTGTTTTTAGTGCCCAGACTCCTGAGCTCCAGGGAAGTGAAAGCTGGGAACACAGTTTTGTAGGCTGAAGCCAGAGACTGTCCATTCAAGGTAGATAGCCATTAAAAAAAATTTGGAGGGATGATTTACCATTGTTCAATTTATTATGATCATAGTTTTTTTGTTTTTAAAGATTTGAAGGGATGGTGAAATTTATAGGCAAGACTTAGTAACTACTTGCAAACAACAACAAAAAACTGTACGCTTTCCACTGAAAACATAGTTTATACCAGAAGTCGCCTGGTAGTGAAACAAATGTTCCTTGTGTAAACAAGAGATCATTGGTTGGTCATTAGCCACCTACTAGCATGATGTAGTGAGTTAAATTCCTCCTGGACTGGGGACCTAGTCAGAAATCAGACGGACTCTAGACAGTTGATGGGAACCTAGCATTCTTAAAGATCTTCTGGAAGCTGTGAAGTTTGACATAGATGCTCCCTAACATAGAACCAAAGGAAGGAAGAGAGGAGGAGGCATCAGGGAACAAGGACAGGAGAAGAGAGGAAGAGGAAGGAAGGGAAGGAGGGAGAGAGGAACAGAGTGAGAGAAGGAAGGAATGGAGTGAAGGAGGGAGGGAAGAAGGGAGGGAGGGAAAGTAGTTCAGGTCTTTGAGATAGTCTGATTTTTTTTTTCATTGCTACAATTTCTACTCCCATCGTGGGATTATTTCTTTCTAGAAAAATGTGAAAAGGTGTCTACAATAGAATCTTGTCTCATTGAACATCTGTTTATAATTATTAGATTTCAGTTTTCCGCATAATACTGTATGAAGAATAGATTGTCTTCTTTGAAAAAGTAAAATGCATTATAAACAATTTCAGAAAAAAATAATATTGCTCCTGTGTTTAAATATAATTAAGCTGAAGACTTAAATTAGACTTCAGAGGAAAAACTTTCCTTCTCTGTGTATAAGACATGCTGTCAAGTTGCATTAGAAAGAGAGGCATAAATAACTGGTTGGCATCGTTGGGAACACTTTGGCCATCACTAGTAGCTGCGTCTCCTCTGTTTTAGCACTGCCCAAGCCATATGCCTTGCTGACCAGCCAAAGCCTGTGAAGGAGTACAAGTACCCCGAGCAGCTGCCGGGAGAGCTGTATGATGCTAACACACAGTGCAAGTGGCAGTTCGGAGAGAAAGCCAAGCTCTGCATGCTGGACTTGAAAAAGGCAAGTGATTATTGGCAAATGCTCCGTGCAACAGGATTCATAAGATCTTTTTATTTTGTGTAACAGACATTGATGTATTCTACAATTATTGGGCGCCTACCAAATGTCAAATCCTGCGTGTTAGGGCCAGTCCCGTGGAACAGGAAACACATGTTTTTCTGGCAGAGCAGATGATGGTAGATACTGCTGTGGGTATCAGTTTTCTTTTGAGAACTAACTTGGCCTGGTAGATCAGACTTTGCTTCCTGATTTATCACATGGGAGCCCAGCAATAACTTTCAGTTGGCGTAAGTTTGCAAATTAATGCTCCACATGTTTTTTTTCAAATAGTATTAAAAAATATAAGCATAATTTACCGTATTAGAAAGCAGCAGCCAACCTGGGACTTCTGACTCTTAAATTCCCCAATAAAATATTTATGTCACAGTCTCTCCTGGAAGGTGGTATCCACTGCAGCGACCCCAGGGACAATCTCCTGTGGCCCCCTGCGGGTGATTTTCTGCGTAAAAAGAGACATCTGCTCTTGCTGGACAGGGAAATGGGAGATTTAAACTTGCTCTACTGAACCACAAGGAAAGCTACCCATAAATCAAATGAAAGTAACTACTTTTATTGTACTTTATAGAAATCAAACAGAAATAGACAAAAATTATGTATAGGCCTCCAGCAAGCCCCTGGTATTGCCGAATGTGCTGGAAATGATCCCAGCTTAGCCCCAGCCAGCTCACCCTCTTTCTTCTAAACTCCACTGGGTCTGACCTGAAGATCAGACTGGGCCCCTCGCCAGCAGCAGTTTTATCCTCTTGGCTGGGCGATCTCCCATGAAACAGGGACCTCCGATCAGCTGGTATCTGTGTATTTTCCTGATGTTGCTCTTCTAATGAGCAGAAGGTACAAATTCCCTGAGAAGTTGCTTTCCAGGGTTACGCTTGTGTTTGTTAAGGTAAAGAGGCATAAAACGGGTGTCTTCTTTCAGAGATGAGATGTTCTAGATTGTAGTTCTGGCCTCCATGTTGTTTTACTCGGTGTCCATAGTCCATATCATCCATGGTATCCTCATCTACAGGAAAGATAGGAATAAGGCAATTGCAAGGTATCATTTACTACTGAAGAAATGCTTTCAGGCTGCAAAATCGTCATCTTGTTTCAAACAAATTCTGACAGACACATACACTCCTGTCACCAGCATCTCAACGAAGCTGTGGCTTATTTCCATAAAGTCAACATGTGTCCCCTGGACACATGGATGCAAATTCTGTAAAGATCAGAGTATTCCAGAAGCATCTGTTTTCCGTTGTAATGTTCCTGACGTCCTCCGTGTCCTCTGTGATACTCACTCCCTGTCTTGTGACTTCCATAGAGATGCGTGTGAAGATCCTCTGCGCCTTCCTTTTCTCCTGGTGGCTCTTCTGGTTCTTGTTTTGTGTTTCTGAAACTCCACATATAGGTGCACACGTATTTGGTATTTTCATGACTTCTTGACTCTTATTATTATAAAATGCTTTTGGTCGTGCTACGTTTCTTGAATTCTGTTTTACCTGATGTGTAGGCAGCAGCATCGTATTTTATTTAGGAATGTCGTTTGCATGTTTACTTTTAATCTTTTTACTGCCTATTTCTGTTCTTATATACAATGTGTGTGCTATAAACATTCTTTTATTTGATGTTACTTTTCTGTTCAACTGAATAATCTCTGCCCTTTTAAGAGAATATTTAATCATTTTATACTTAGTATAATTTTTGATATGATGGAGTTAGATGTATCAGTTTTCTACATTTTTCTCTACTTCATTTCTTTGTTAGTGTTTTATTTCTTTATTTTTTTAAATTTTTTTTTATTTTAGGGGTCTCACTCTTAGATTGGACTCATAGTAATCCACCAACTTACAGTCTCCCAAGAGCTGGTATTCAGGCATGTACCACCTTGTAGGAGACCCCTCCAGGTTCTTGTCTCAGTCCAAGAAGTTAATATTTGTAATCTCAAAGATACATTATTGTAATCCCACCGAGTTAATTCCAATCTACCACTCCCAATATAACCCGCCGTGGAAGTAAAGACACTGAAACATGTTTATAATTATTGGGGAGCCAAAGGGCCCTAAGTCCAGCCATGAAGATGGCTTTCCGGAACAAAGAGGCTGACCCAGGGCCTCATCCATTTTTATTTAGTGGAGGAGTGGCTTGAGGAGGAATGACCAAGAATTGTGGGGAGTAGGTGACTACAGTGAGCTGAGCTAGGTGGGTGGCCTGCATTTACCTCTGCCATATGCAGAGAGGATATGCAGAGAAAGTAATCTGCTTTATGCTATTGAGATAGTATCTAATTTGTTTTTGGGAGGGGGAGGTCTGATGCTTCAGCTTTGAGTAGTCTTTCAAGACCCAGGAAGTCATAGCCTCTGTCTTAAGGCTTGATCCCAGCTGGTGGCATGGAGCATTAGCTCTTCGTCCTGTCTCGACCCGATTCACATTAAGGAGCAGCAGGTGTAGGTTACCAGGGAAACACGCACGCCACCTTCAGAGACTATCACCAGCACCTCAGCTAGACCAATACACATTGCTTAAGGCCAATTGAAGGCTAAACAGAAGTCCTAGCCAGCTCTGTACATATGAATACAAGGAAATAAGGTTAGGCTCAGTCACAATGGAGACAGTTGCTCCTCTTTCAAGGAGAGCAGCTCAGGTGGTCCTCCACACCACCTGTTTTCTGTCTTAAGTTAAATTATTTGTTTAAAATCCTGTTGTTTAAACTGTATTTGCTTTTGAGCTTTACTGTGTAGTGCTACTTTTTAGCTGTCCTGGAGATTAATGAATCATCCTTTTAAGGTCTTTAAGATCAACATTTTGCCAGCTGGTGTGTAATGCAAGATCCTTACGACAAATACTCTGTGTCTCTCTGCTGTACCTCATGCCACTGTGATCATCTATCTTATTTCCACATGTGTTAAAAGCCACATGATGCAAACATTTATGTTTTTAACTTTTACTTTTAGGAGCAAGGCCATCTTTTATACTTACCCACATATTTACCGTTTAATATTTATGACTCCCTAAAGATTGCTGTTGTACATTGCTATCTTTTACCTGTACATTGCTATCTTTTACCTGGATAACTTACCTAAGACCTGCATAACTTCATCTAGCAATTCTCATTGTACTTACCTAATAGCCCCAAGTTATTTCAAGTTGCTCTTTTTTTTTGTTAATGGGGGCAGGGCTGGCATGGCGTGTAGTGCCAGGGATCGAACCGTGGTCCCTGTGCTTGCCTAAGCTTGCCTAAGCAGGCACTTTAGTCTGCTGAGTTATCTTACGAGCCCTCAAGTTGTTCTTTTTGAAATTAGAAAATGGAACTAATTTACTCAGGTTTTGAAGATATATTTGCTGGAATTATAAGCTTTTTCATTTATATACTTAAGCAACATAGCTCAGTTTTTTTTCTGGGCAGCTAGTGTCTATAATGGAGTTGATTATAATTGTTAGCTTCCTCTTACCATTTTGTGTAATGTTTTAGATAGTTCAGTGAATAGAGGTTATTAATTTCCAGTTGCAGAATTGCATTTGGTTCTATATTTCTCTTTTGAAATTTTCCCTTGCTCACCATTGTCCACTTTTTGCTGTTTTGTCTTGAATATATCTACAATGCATTATTTTATTTATTGATTTATTGATTTATTTTGGCAGTACCAGGGATCAAACTCAGGACCTTGCCTGTGCAAGGCAAGCACTTATTCCAATGAGCTATCTCCTCGGCCCATATAATGCATTATTGTAGAATAGATGTCTTTGTTGTTGAGCTACAAGCACCCTCCAAGGCTTTGTTTTACACTGTCCACTTCCTCTGTTTTCTTCTTCCCTCTGCTCCATGCCACTGGAGCCACTGTGGTCCTCACTAAGCACCTGTGTTTACTGACTCTGAGCTTAGGTGTTCCTTGAGGCTGTTGGCTCTATGCACACCTGAGTCCAGTGTCCCTCGCTGCACTGCCTCTGTCTTCCAGCCCGGGTAATCCATGTTTCTCTGCTAGGTTGCGTGGAGCGTCATCTTAGTTGTTAGCACTTGGCTCTTAGACAAGGACGTGCAGGAAGCCTTGATGCAGGTGTCTGGCCTTCCCTCCTGCTCCTTGTGCATTGCTAGCCCTATCCCCACGACTCTATCACTTGACCAAGCCTTGCCTCCCATCTGTGTACCTCCTAGCCAGGACTCTCCTGCAGGGTCTACTGGGTCCCAGCTGGTGGGTAGACAGGGCACCCATCTGTGCCTTCCTTTCTCCAGGGCATTGCCTTCCCTGCTGTCTGCCTGTTGCCAAAGGCCTCTCAGACTGCACACATAAATTTCCCATACAGCTTCATAGAATGGGAATGATTTTTGTTTACATTTTCAAGTTTTCAGTTTTGTTTCACAGAAAAGTACCATGTTAAGTAGGGAAAACACCTTTCAAATAGTCTCTCAGCCCTTTGTATCTGCAGTTTGGCATCCTGAGATTCAACCAGCTGTGCGTAGAAAATATTTGGGAAGAACTGTATTGGCCTTGATTATGTACCAGTGTTTCTCTCCTCCTTATTCACTAAGCAAAGCAGCATAGCAACCATTTATTTAGCACTTACAGTGTATTGGGTATCATAAGTACAACTGTACCTCGGCTTAAGTATTTAATGCTTTCCATGATTCTGGTCCAAACCAAATTGGACAAGACCCAATCAAATTTCCTCGTCAGGTCAACACTGAACCTCATCACTGAATTTAAATTAAGGCACCTGCCTAGCTTATCAGCTTTTTCCTTGCCTTGTTAATTGCTTCCTGTAGTGAAGCTTTAACTCTTTCTAATCAGGAGCAGCCAGAAGGCTTACTGAGGCCTTTATCCTGCTATTCCCTGCCTGTCTACCTGTTCCCTTCCCCTGCGCTATGTATTTTCTCTTTCTATAACAATTTCTACTTCTATGGCTTGCATGTGCACTATACCAAGTCTCAAAATTGAATATGTTGTGGCAAGTGGAAATTCTTCGTT